CCGAGTCGCGGCAGGTTGGTTTTCCTTCTCCTCGGCCCCGGCAGCCCTGCGAAGGACCCAGGCCTTTTAAGGGACGCTGACAGATCTTTATTTTTGCTTTATTGGGTTCTTCGTTGCGGGAGATTGCACTTGCGAAAGCTCGATAGAACGAACGTTCAACAGTTGTTCTTTGGGTGCGAAACAGCAGTCCTCCTAGTCTTTTGTGGCTGCCCCCCCCCCCTTTTTTTTCAAATCCATTACATCACCTCATTTTCAAAATTAAATCTGCTAAAAGCATCATGTTCAAATACCTTCAAAAAAAAAAAAAAGCAAACCCACAGTGGTTAGGAATTCTTTGAAGTTTGGCTGAGGCTGCTAAAGGAAAGCATGTGTGAATTTCAGCATCAAGTATAACACCAGCGCGCATTCATCTCATGAAAACGACGGCGACTGTCTGCTCGGGGAAAGAGAAAGAAAAAAAAAATCAGAAAGCAATTGTGAAGCCATATGCTCTTCCATAGCCACATTTAGATTCAAAGCGTGATGAAATCACCCGTCTTGTCCATTGGCTGCTTCATATGTAGTCTCAAGATGAGGGTGTACCTGGATGAGCTCAGCCACTGCCTTCACCAGCCGTGTTTTGATAGGAGTGGCTTTCTCCATGTGGACATTTCATCAGAAGACCAAAGAAACGAAACGGCACTCCTCGGCCCGTGATCACGATTGACAGGTGGCTGTCAATCTCTCTGGAGAGGCTTGCTGAGTATACACCGAATACCTGGTCCGACCTTTCGGCCTGGCTGGAGACTGGTTCAGGCAATACGCTATCTGCAGAAAAGCAGCAGCCCCATATTGCAAGAGAGTGCCATTGAAATTAATTGGGGCAAGGTGCAGTTAAAGCCCTTTCGGTCCTCCTACAGTCTGCATCTATTGCGATACATACACTAAGGACAAAGAACAACACCGCTGTTTGCAGCGGTGCTCTAAAAAAGTGCATTTTCAGAGGTTGTCTTCCTGTAGTGAAATAAGAGGTACCATTATACCTTTTCTCATCATCCACTAGTGTCCTCTCTCATGAAAATCTTTGTTCTGATGGCTCTGCATTAGCTAAGCCAGCGCTGGCCGTTTAGCTTGGCGTTAGGACAAGATGCTCCAATCCTAAAATTACTTTTGTTCGCAAGGTGGTTGTTAAGTAGGTAAGTAGCGTGGGTTTGTCCAGATTTGGTAACGTGAAACAAAAAATGTCACGCTGACAGTGACATTTTGGTGAACTACAGACACTGTGGAGTTCAGAAATTCTTCTACATATGATTCTTTCATACCAAAGTAATACCTGAAGGGCTTGCCAGAGAGACTAAACAGAACTGGAGACAGAATTAATCAAATAGACTAATTCAAAGGAAAGAAAGGGCAATCACGAACAACAAAAAACCAGGAAATGTCAGAACAAATAGATAAGTCTAAAATACTGGGTGGAAGAGAACTAAAGCAGACCCAGAAGGAAAAGACAGTGGAACTAAAGTAGTGAAGTGAGGAATGAATGCTAAAAAGATACTCGCTGCCACAGAGGAATACAGCATGCCCTTGCCATTTGCTGTATGTGGGGGTTTATGCCAGTTTTCTCTCTCATCCTTTTGTTTGTCAGCAAAAATTCAATAAATAACACAGCTTTTGGAAAGGATATAAAGAGAAGATAAAAATGTCAACACAGAAACGGAATGACTTCTTAATGATGGGAAAAGAAAGAAAGATGTGACTGTAGAGAATAATAGAGTGTGTTAAGAAGGTCAATCTTTTCGACTTAATTTTGCCCAAAATAAATGTATAACAGCTCTTAAAAGGGAACACATCTAAGACGAATCAGAAGAATGTTTCTTTCACACATATGTAATTAATCTGGAGAGCTGACTGCGAGCGGGTATTTCATGGGCATGAGTTTTGCAATACATCACCTGTTTGCATGTCTACCAACAGCTACTGGCACACTAGCTGAACTAAAATTGCCAAGGCTATCAATCCCTGCGTTTCAGAGCACATTGGAGCGTTTCGACGTGCTGGGGGTAGGAGGAGATGCCGACAAAAGAGCAGAAGGGGTGGAGAGCATTACATAACACCGCCTCCAACCCAAGGAGCGCTCAGCCTTCTGCTGAGCGAGAGAGGGGGACAGGAGCCAAAAACACAAAGACCAAAACAGAAAGAAGAAAAGTTGAAAGCAGGAGAGGATATTCTGCTTCGTAACAGCAGTGGTGTAGGTGGTTGGGAGAAAGAAAAAAAAAAGAGAAGCTGAAAACGGGAAGAATTAATTTGTGATTAAGACAGCGAGCTGGAGCTCGTGGGATTTATGTTCGAGCACAGCTTTGCTATGCGTTCCTTGAACAGCCTTGAGCAAGTGACCTCAAGTGGGCTGAACATAGGCATGCAGTTACCTAAACACAGGCAGATAGTTGTACTCGCAGCCGGGTGTCCGACCGCCGCCGGGGGACTGTGGCAGTCACATCTGCCATCTCTTTGGGGAGCAGCGGGATGTTCAAACTGGAACTAGACTCCCAGGTGCAGGCACATCTCCCGTAGTGTCCCTCTGTCTTGTTCTCTACATAAAACCAAAACAATAACGTGTGCTTTCTCTGTTCTTATTCCTGCCTCTTCCATTAGAATTTGCAATATTTTACTGGCAGATTCAGGCCATATTTGTATAGTCTTGATCTTGGCACAGGTATCTAGGCATTGTAACAAGACAAATAATAGGAACAGTAATAAAGATAAAAATAACACCGAGGTAATAAGACTGTGGGACAGTGAAATGAATTGCATTTTCAGCAGGCAATGGAAAAGGCAGGAGAAGTACAACCCCTGCGGGATTGGAAGTTTTCTCTGCTCTATTTTCCTCTCAGTTCTACTCCAGGTACATTCTTTTTCCCAATACGCCGGCTCAGCACTGTGCAATTTTTTCCTTTGAATAAACTAATGGAAACTCAAGCCCAGTTTTCTACCCAAGGATGATCAGCTCTAGTTAGAACACCCAGGAAGAAAAAAACAGAGGAAGGTGTTTGAATGGAGGGGAAATGTTCAGGAATGGTCAAAACAGGTTGGGGGTCTTTTTAAATTAGAATCTATCAAGATAAACACTGTAAGTAAAGTTTTATATACAGAAGAGGTTGCACAGGAATAACGTATGCAGGTAACAAACTACTCAGGGGATATTATAAGAATGGAAGCACCGTGTTACTGCACATTTAGAAACCAACCCCTTCTTTTTTCTCAAAAAGTTTCCGTAATGCATTGGCCTGTACCATAAATACCGTAACAGAATGGCTTAGTGATGGGTTTGTTCCATTTTGCTGCTTCCTGTATCTCCGAGGAAAACAAGATGATACAGTTTTAAAATATTAATAAAGGAGTAAAGAGAGTAATTGCCAGTGTATTGCATTCAAAACAAAATACTAATGAGATAGTAGAAAGTGAAATCTACTTAAGTGATAATACAGACACATTGTTATTCTATTTACTGAATAGCACGAATATGTCCCTTTCAGAATAAAACTCGAGTTGGTGCAGATCACCTGTAAACAAAAATAAAGCGTTTTGTTTGTAAGAAAATGCTTCAGTTTAATTTGAAATGCACTTTACATGCTCAATGCAACATAAAATGTGCTTCTGAGTAATACCCCCATCTGTTAAATTTCCATGTTCAACTTTATTACACTAAAAGATTTGCGCAGATGGTTAATAGCCATCCTAGTGACTGTGTATTATTTGCTGGTTCACTGAACGTGCCTGATTTTTGTTATGAACACGCACTCATCCTGCAGTTGAAGCTTTTATGGTTATGTCAACCAATTAAAATCTCACACAGACAGAAACCTATTGTCTGATGAAAGTCTTTATTTTCACATTGCTCTCCTGCTTTTGGGGAAACGCGTACCTGGATTCCTATCCAACCCACTACCGCTCAACACTGATACACCTCTACCTAGAAAAGCATCTAGTCTTAGCAGCTCCCAGGGTTTCTTCCTCAAACCTTCACGGGGATTTCCCGTCCGTGCCAGGGCCCTGAGCGCATCCACACCTCCTGGAGGGTTGGCTTTCAGGGCTAGCTCAGAGACTGGGCAGCCACAGGCTGTCCCCTTCTTTCTTTCCATGACGGGATGGCAGGGGAGCCACAGCCGGGGCCAAACCCTGCCCGTGGGAGCTGCTTTTTAGCTGAGCCTCTGCCGTTTGGCCCCCACCTGAGCTACAGCTCCCGCCACGTCGTAGGCCATGCCTGGCCACAGCCACACCGATCTGGGTCCATGTCCCGTCCTCATCCCCATCCCCAGGGAGGTGCTGGGTGCCGGGGCTGCCCCGGCATAGGAGCCCACGGTGCCCTGACAGTTCTCTGTAGAGCCTTTTTTTCTGTGTTGTCCAAGAAATGGTGATAGGCACCCTTTTCCTTTTACAGGAGACTTAGGAAAACATGCATCCGCTAATGATTTTAATGTGCTTTCGGATGTTTACATGGATGATGATATAAAAGTTTCAAATACTTATTTTAATATAATTTTTCTTCTTGGAATATTATCATACCAATCAAAATTACTATGTTTTACTCACTGAATTCCTGTCTTATTTGCCAGTAAGCTGTTTTTCTTCAGAGCTGCTAATTTATTTTTAAAACATTTGAAACTACTTGTGATTAATATTTCTCCACTGTGAAATATAGTCTCCCTTTTGATCTTTAACTGTTTGGAAGTATTTTTTAAACATTTTTCCTTGTACCAGTTCTTGAGGGGGAAAAAAAAGGCTTAGCATGGCTTCCAGAATGAGGTAATCTTTGTTTGCAAATAAATTTAGTTCCTTGGTTTATTTTGGAAATAGATCAGCTGTCACGGATTGTAGAGGGCGGCATCACTGAGTTCAGTTTATTGAAACAGAAATGACAGAATGTCAATTAGCTTTTCCATTACATGTTACATGAACAAAAGCTACTGTGCAAGCCCAAAGTGAATTTATTTTAGTATCAGCTGTACAGATCCCTTTTTATCTGTTTACAAAGAAAAGAAAAATAAACTTCTGATTTTTTAATAAGAATTTTCCTTGGATTTCCTTCTCTATAAGCATCAGAATGACTGTTATGTGCAGTACAGGCAACCTTAAACCTTGAAAAGTAGTGGTGAGACATCAAAAATAATATAACAGCTTCCCAAATCCTTAACCCCCTGACATTTAGTCCATTCTGTACACCTCCAGTGTATGTCTGACAACTTGAAAGTTGCAAAGTGTCCAACGTTTGTAGCAAGGCGGTGAAATGTGGCTTCTACTACTGAAACAGCACACACACGGCAGGAGAGAGAACTTCCCCGAGTAGTTGCAGGCAAGAAGGAAACACAACAGTGAGCCTGCGATGGTGGGAACTGGAGTTTGTCATACTTATATCATGGTGTCAAAACTCACATCAGATAGATACCCATTAAATGAGAATGAATGTTTTTCTTGATAAACCAAACCACAAAGAGCAACAAAATATGTATTTTGCTGAAATATTTTACTGCTGTTTATGTGGTGAAAGGAAAAGGGCACGCATCTAGATTTGAGATGTTCGTTACTGGTTGAGGAAACATTGGTCTGGTTGTTTCTCACACCATAGGCAGTTCTTGACTGTTTTTTCTCCAAGGGCTCGATGTCAT